TCACTCCCTGACAAGTCCTTACAGACAAGCTCACAGTTTAGTCAATATGGAGTCAACTGGTAGGAACTTAACCACCCTGCTGACGGATCAAATAATGAGACCAACCCTATATTTACTGTACATACCAACCCCTCAGTGCCCCATGTAGGGCTTTATGATAGGACCATCTACATCTTTGCTGCCCTCCTCACCTCGTAAGCCTCAACACTCCACTGCTTCTTTTTGGTTTTTGCATTTTTCAATTTCTACATCGAGAGAGAAGGCAAAATCCAAAAGCCTTACTTTCTCACATTCAGCTTATCACTACCTATAATGGGCGTAGCTGTCAGAATGCCTGTTTTGAAGAAGTACAACTAAAGGCATCAGTATGCTTCAAACAAAGTGCTGGTTGGAGCTTTGAAAGGTGTCTGAAAAGCCCCTCCTGCCACCGCTCTCCAATGCCACAATTTGGAGTTGGGTGGGGCTGCAGCTACCAGCCTCATGAAACTAACAATCTGAAATGTCCACTTTACACTGTAAAAGCAGCTTTTCCATCATTTCATCATTTGAAGCTTCTGTTAAGGCGTCATTGTGCCGACAATTTTTGTAGACAGCTCGATTACTCACATGTCCCTCGCGCTAAATGCTGGTAAATGTGGATCCAAGTGTGTGTTTACGTCTATTTTCTTCCATTTTACTACAGTGATTGTGTCTTGGTGCTGCTAAAACGTGAGCGACCTATAAATCAATACTGTGCCTGAACACCTCCTGTGTAGACACACACAGAGCACTGCTGCTGCCCTGCTGACGTGCTGCTCATGCTGCACCTCCTGTGTAGACATGCGTGTTAGACATTTCCGAGGAATCTGGCAACAAAACTCTGTCTGATCTAATCCTTTGATTAAGTTGTGTTTCAGTAAACAAAACAAAACCCCCTGTCTTTTTTGGCATTTATTTCTGAGACTAGAGACTTCATTTGGGACTTTCATGATTGATGTGCCCCTTGATGCATCCATTGTGTGTGTATGGATGTTCACATACATGCACTGTGTGTGTGTGTGTGTGTGTGTGTGTGTGTGTGTGTGTGTGTGTGTGTGTGTGTGTGTGTGTGTGTGTGTGTGTCTATGAGTGTCAGTTTGTATGATTGTGTTAGTCCTGGCAGACTGTGTGCAGCCATAGCTGGCGTGGATTATTCCACTTGGCCAGACAGATTTGAGCTTGGCACGACAGGATCAGGATATGTGTCCCCTCTCTTTCTGTCCTCGCAGGCAACTAACACTGATAATACTATCTGCAAATGGAAGGCTTAATCTGCTGCCACTTATTGTGTTAGTAATATGTATCCATGTTTCTTACACTAAAAATAGTGCAGCAACCAAGTGAGGCTATTATTCATTTCTTCAAAGATTGTGTTGATAGGCGTGTGAGCATTGTGATCATGAGACAGCAAAGTGACTAGATTTCAAACGCTTTTAGATGTGATACACAGATGCCTGCTCACTGGGTTCACATGAGGACATTCAGGAAAATCACAGAGCAGCTGCAGACGGTGATGACCGTGACTCATTTTCTCTCCCCCTGTCTGTATCGTCCTCAGTTTCTACTAAATCTGTTCTCTTTTTTCTCCTCCTGCCTCGTTAATGTCATTGACAATTAGCAATGGCTTCACCAGAGATATAGAGTGTATTTAATGAGTGATGAGCCTTCACTGGCGGGGGGGGTCTGGAAACCTGCTCCCCCAGGAGAAATATGTCAAATAAACAGCTGTAAAGTGGCTGCGGTTAATGAGTTTTGTGAGTGAGAACAGGCTGAAAAATCAATAAATAATTCGGCTTCACTGTTGCAAAGAGGATTTCTTTTAATTGTTGTAAGTTTGTACGTAAAGTAAATATCACATTTTAATATTGCAAATAGTAAAGATTATTTATTTAATGATTTCAACATAATTACAGCAATACAATTTATGATAAGATGATTAGCTCTGTAATGCATAACCGACTGTAAATCTATTTACCACATAATGTTTTTCACCAATGGATGAGATGTTAAGCACAAATCACATTAGAAACAGTCAGCTAGAAGCGTGGTAATTAATATTTCATACTTAAGTTAAAGTATCTACAGTCAGAAAAGCACAGCTGTAAATTATAAAATGAATGACGGCTGAATTCCATCATTAACGGTTTGTGCTTAGGCGCAGTTAAGTGTGTTTACATGCTAACATTTACTAACTGCAATACAAGGAGGACCTGCAGCCTGGAATCACAGCTGCCTTTATTTTTGGTAGACATGTTACTACATTTTATTAGAGGTCTTCCTTAGCTACATTTAGTGCTCCATCTATTGCATTTATTTATTTTTGTTCGGTATCCAGCACCTATCCCACTGTAGTTGTGTGGATGTGCACAGGGGCATAAAGGTATAAAATGAACTAAAGATAAAAAATAAAAGTAACTTAAGGTTCTTAACTTAAGTTCCCTCGTTCACGGAGAAAGCCTCCATGATCCTGTCTGGAAGATTCTGACCATGGAAGAAGTTAACCAGCCTCCTCCTCCTCCTCAGCTCGGAGGCGTCCACTCCTTCCTCCTCTTCCTTAGCATCCTCAGACCCCACAGTGGCCCCGTGTTCTTCCACTATGTTCTTCCTCTTCTTCTTCTTCTGTGGTGTAGCACCATCGTCCCTCTCCAGCAACCTGCTGAGAATGCTCATCACCTGGTCGGACATTAGCTGAGCATACCGACTGATGATGTCGTCATACTGACCTTTCTCTCGGGAGTGTGGACACAGTCGTCTTTGCTTTCTCTGTGTAGTCCTTCTCTCCCTCGTCCACGGCTTCTCTGTAGCAGGTGAGAAACTCTTGCAGTTTCTCCTGCAGAGCGACCTTCACCTCTGTCGCAGTATAGTCGACTCGCTCCTTGATTTCTTCTTCTTCTGGCATATGTCCTTTACACCATTGACCATGATGTCCAAAATGTCAGAGGCAGCAGAATCCAAGGTGGGCAGGCTTGATCTGTGTGGACCGGTCATCAGGCTGAAGCTTCGTGGGGAGAACAAGGCCTTGGCAAGAAGGCCCTTTAGTACCTGAAGGCAGGATCCATGAAACTCTGACAGGTCGCTGCTGACCTTCTCTGAGGACATGCGTAATGGATAAGGCTTCAGCTGCTGAGGGCGGGGCTTACGCTCTGCACACTCTGAGTGTTGCTCGCTTATTTTGGTGGCGAGGTCTTTCCAGATCCTGGCAGACTTCCTCTCTTTGTCCTGACGGTGGCTCATGCTGTCAGCGACGGCGGCAAACATCACTTCCTGAGTTGTTGTTTCCAAGACAGCGTCTACGTCCTGACCTGCTGCCTCCTCTCTTACATTGGCCAGAGTCTTACCTGCCGATGCCAACGCCTTCATAGCAGCAAACGTGACCTCTGACCCTTCGGTCTCTGTATTGTCCTGGCTCTCAGCAGCCAGCACACGCAGACCCTGGTTCATCACTACACCTCCCAGCATGCTCCTGACTGACAGCTGGAAGGAGGAACTGCCCAATATTTGGGCCAGTTAAGTCTGAGACAGAGACTGACTCACTGGATCCACCATCCTGTCCAGGAAGCTCTGCCACTCTTGATAGTCCAGGCTGCTGATGAAGGACTGGAGCATGTCCACGTCCTCGTCGGCGGTCTGAACCTGGTCGGTTTCTCTCTCTACTCTGTAGTTACAGGTATGAGATAAACTGGATTAAGAAGATGCCCCCCTTAGAACAATGTCTGTTTTCTTTTAAAATATGTACATTTTGAATATCAATATTTCGATGGAGCATTAGGGAAAAAATTAATTAATTAGAGAAAAAAAGGTTGCAGTATTATGAGAAAAAAGTTCTAATATTATGAGATTTAAAAATGTAAAATTTCGAGAGAAAAAAACGAATTTTTAGGACTATTACAAGCAACCAATAAAATGGGTGAAAGGACACTGGCTTTCACTGGCAGCCTGAGCGCCTTCTGGCAACTGCTGTTTATCTGTCTAACAACAGAATAGACTCACTTTCTTGCACAATCTTTTCTGTGTCCTGATGCTTATGATGATTGACTGAACTATAACTGTCTCGATTGCACTGAAAGCACAAACTGTTCCTCTTCTCGCTCCGATTTCAGGTCTAAATCTCACACACTGTCACACACTGATGGAAAGTGAAGACAGTGAGTCATCACATCAGTGATGTCTCTTCTTCTGTGGCGGTGCAGGAAAAATGTAGTCTAATGCTGATTTACAGTTAAACTTCACAGCACTTTGAGGACATGAAGTGTATGAAAATATGGGACAAATTGTGTCCCATATTTGGAAAAAATATTTGGAAAAAATAACATGGAAAAAATACAACTTCATGGCAAACTCAATTCATAAACTTTACTGAGTAATACCAGCCACTGGTCAGTAATAGCTCTGAGTTTAAACACTGTCTTTTTCTTATGTCTGGAAATAAATCCTGCACTTTTTTTTACTGTCTACTTAGAAAAATCAATGACAAACTTCTGAATTGATCATCTACAACCCTGATAGTTCATAGTCATTATAGCCATTGGTGACTCCACACTCTGGTGAAATATTTTAAAGACATTTTTCTTGTAGGTGTCAGTTTTCATTGTATCGTCTCTTCATCTTTATGTGTGGCAGTGCAGCAACTATCCACGCTGCTGTAGTGGATTTTCACTGTTGTCCCCACAGTGCAGCTCTGTGCAGAAGCCCCTGCTGGGTGCTGGTGCCAGCCTTGTGTATGTTCTGATTCCTGAGTCTATGTCAAATTTTAAATCAGTCAGAAAAGGCAATATAAATTATTTGAGAGGGCTACATTAAATTTTAGGGGGCTAAATGGCCTTAAAGTTGGCTATGATGTCTTTTGAATATTGAATGAAAAACTCTGTATGCATGAATACAACTCTTCAACAGAGCACATGTAATAGTCATATCTGTTGCATCCAGAGTATGAATTAAAAATCTTATTATAAAGTCCTTATTTTCTCTCTCTCTCTCATCAGGGTGTGTGGTGTGTCTGACGCCGTCGGGCTGCCATGGCTTTGGTTCAGGCACTACCTTTAACCGTGACTGACCACCCCAATCCAGGCCTCGAAGTCCAGCAGTGCCGGCCGCTATCATCCCACTCCCCCTCAAGCCCCTGCTCTGGCCCCTGTGGGCCCTGTAGCTCCGGGACAGCCATGGGTTCTGTCAGCAGTCTCATATCGGGCCGGACGTACCAGGAGAGACACTGCCGGGCTGCCAGCGAGTTCACCACCAAACCACGCCGCTCCACGCCGGCTACCAGCTGCTTCCGGCTTCAGGATAACACCCTCCGCAGCGGGAGCTCCTTAGAGCAGCTGCTGGTCATCAGCAACCAAACGCAGCCTCAGGCCCAGGTTCTGCCTCCACCGCTGCCCACCAAAAAGCAGCCTCGGCCTGGTAATTCTGCTGGAGCAGTAGGTGGTGGCACTAATGGGAACTTTGGGTATGTGAACAATGAGGTGGTGGTTGGAGACTGGAACGACAACCTGGTGGTGGCGGCTGCAAGCCCCTGCAGTGACTCGGAGGACCAAAGGGACAACAGGACTCTGAACGGCAACATTGGAGGGCCTCCTCCCAAACTCATCCCAGTGTCCGGACAGTTAGAGAAGGTAAGAGGAGAAGATTGTAGAGCTAGACCAAAAAATTAGCCAAGTCTAGTTTATAGCAGATATGTCGGCATGGGTTTATATGTTGGTTTATAAGTAACAACAACATGTGGTGTCTCTGTTACATAGTTTTTCCACAACAGAGCAATAACAAGATTTTCCTGGTCATATATTTTTTTAAATAAAAGGATCCATAACAAGATTGCTGTTTATGTCAGGAGTTTATGTTTAAAAAAATACTTTGGACACATATACCTTTTATATATATGTTGGCCTCTGAAATCCTGTGTTGGTCTGGCTATACTAGATTGTGATGTATTTACACTTATAAATCCAAGAGCCCAACCAATACATCAGTTTGGCCAATGTTATTGTCCGAAGCAAGAAAAAGGAGTAAAAAAATGCTAAAGATGTGTTTATGGTTATGGAAAAATTTCTTGACCTTTGGCAAAATATCTGAACTGAAGGTCCACTTAAAAACTTTTTACTGAGTTTTCAACCACATCAAAAGTTGATATATGTCATCCAATCTTTTAAACTCTTAAACCTCAATTTTCTGTATCCGCCATGACTGTACTCAACATACATTTGGGGCAATAGAAAGGTATAGAAAGTAGAAACACTACCTCACTGAAAGTATTTGAGTGTCCCTACTGGGTGCATAAGTGCTCTTGTGTAAGTGACCATGACGTCTGACCTGATGATATTTATAGGAAAGTGTTTTCTTTAATTACAGCTCGAGATTACACACTGGCATTAAATATCATAGCAAGGACTTTTTTCTCTGCTCTCCCAGTAATACACACTGTACTCATCAAACATTAACACATACATGAGCGTTTCTACAGCATGTGCTGACGTGTTTTACAGCAGATTACCTCGCCTGCCTAATTGGGTATTTATTACCATCGATCCAGAGGGAAGCTTAATCACTGGCCTGACAGGCTCAGATGGATCGTTTGACAGCTACTCACCTTGCAGACACATCATGATGAATGTCAGAGCTCACTTACATTCAATGACGTAATTACTGAGCCATGAGGAAGACTGTTAAGAAAAATGCTTATAGAACATTTGAGGAGTTTTTTACCCACTCCATCTTTGTCTCGTCTCTTCCTCTTCTATCCTCCCTCCTCTTTGTTTCTCTGCCCTTTAATCAGATTTTCTCTGTCCTCTCCTCTTTCACTTTCTCCCTCTATCTTAGATGATAGGAAACTCATTAAGAAAATTGCCTAATGAAGGCCATGAATATCAATTAAACCAAATTAAACTAATCTGAGCCTGGAGGGGTGACCTGCCAGCGTATCACTCACCCTTCTCTAATGAGTTTTATTCAGCCGTTTCTAATTAGCACAGCTTAGTTCTTATCAATTACTAATGCTGTTTTTTTAAAAATAATTTTTCACTTTCAGAACATGGAGAAAGTGCTGATCCGTCCTACAGCGTTCAAACCTGTCGTTCCCAAGAATCGTCACTCTGTGCAGTACCTGTCACCACGACCAGGGGGCAGCAGTCTGTCAGAGAGCCAGGCCAGCCTCAACCTCCTGCTGCCCCTCGGAGGATCTAGTAGCGCCAGCGCCACGAATGGTAACGGAGGGAGCAGCAGTTCTGGCTCTGAAGGTAAACGTAACTCCTACAGTGGCGGTCGCAATGCTCGGAACAGCCAATCCTGCTCCATGTCAGATTCAGGGAGGAACTCCCTTTCCAGCCTCCCTACTCACAGCAGTACAGGCTACAGTTTGGCCCCCAGTGAGGGCTCCAGCTCCGGGTCTGGCTCCGGGGGTCAGCTGGAGCCTGTCACAGGCCTGGGCCGAAACACATCAGGTGGAAGTGGGAACCATGGTCACACTAACTCAGACAGTGGACGTTCCTCATCCAGCAAGAGCACAGGCTCTGGGTCTCTAAGTGGGCGCGGGCAGCCCCTGTCAGACAGCGGGTCCTGTGGCCATTCGCCACCACCGGTGGAGGGCTATGAGGCGGTGGTGAGGGAGCTGGAGGAGAAGCTGAGGGAACGAGACCTGGAGCTCCAGCAGCTCAGGGAAAATCTGGACGAGAATGAAGCTGCTATCTGCCAGGTGAGACGTAAAGACATTCACCTCACCACACTGACCAAGCCTCCAAATAAACAACTTGATATGCTGTCGGTACAGATGTGGAACTCACCCATGTCTTTTGCTCTGAAAGGTGTATGAGGAGAAGCAGCGTCGCTGTGAAAGAGAGATGGAGGAGCTGAGGCAGAGCTGTGCCACGAAGATGAAGCAGGCCTCTCAGAAGGCCCAGAGGGCACAGCAGGTGTTGCAGTTACAGGTACGCTAAGAAACCTCTCAAAACATCTACAGAGATTTATGTGGGGAAAATGGAAAAATCGTACAGGAAAGCAGTTGAAGAGTTAGAAAATTTTCTGAAGTTATATTTTTTTTATTTTTATTATAGTGCAGCAGTTTGTTTTCATTTATTGCAATCAGTCATTTTGTAGGAGTTTAGGAGTTTCTCCATATTATTAATGCTGTCTCATGCTTTAGTGATGAGTCTGGGGATTCGCTCTTTGCGCATGTATGTCTTATTTTGAATCGACATATCTGTCTTAGTGTGTAAAATAGTTTGAAAAGACACATCTCTATGTGTTGTTAGGTCTTTCAACTACAGCAAGAAAAAAAGAAGCTGCAGGAGGACTTCTCCTCTCTGCTGCAGGACAGAGAGACACTGGAAAGGAGATGTGCCACCATCCAGAGGGAGCAAACCCAGCTTGGGCCACGCCTGGAAGAAACAAAGTGGGAGGTGGGTGAGAGTCAGTGATTTAAGGTGCTGACTGTGAGCTGCATCGTCCCTATTTGAGTCTGGCAGAAGACCTTTGCTGCATGCCATTTCCCCCTAATAAAAGCTTAAAATGCCCTCAAAAGAAAGGTATTAAGTCAGAGGTGACACCTAGTAGGTTTTAAATGAACCTCCTAAATTTAATTTATAAGCTTGAAAGGATTTGTGGATTACTTTTAATGAGCAAGCAAATCCAAAATGTCAGTTTGTGATCTGACAATTTATTTTGAGCCTTTCCACCTTTCTCTCAAACTCCCTCTCCCTTGTCCCCTCAGGTGTGTCAGAAGTCAGGGGAGATCTCCCTCCTGAAGCAGCAGCTGAAGGAGATCCAGTCAGAGCTCAGCCAGAAGGCAGGAGACATTGTGGTCCTGAAGGCTCAGCTGAGAGAAGCCCGTTCTGAACTGCAAGCCAGCCAGGCTCGATCCCAGGAGGCCCAGACGGCCATGCGGACGCGATCTCTGGAGCTGGAAGTCTGCGAGAATGAACTCCAGAGGCGCAAGAGCGAAGCAGAGCTGCTCCGGGAGAAAGTAGGCCGTTTGGAAGAGGAGTCATCCCGGCTCCGAGACACCCTGTCCAATCACAGTGGACACTCTTTACCTGGAAATGCAACCATGAAGGGGCAGTGTATGAACCTGTCCCTCCAACAGGGTAGAGGTGTGATAGGAAGGGGTGGTCCCAGTCCCTCTGTGTACCGCGATGGAGAGGAGACTCATCTGGTTTGGGGAGGAGAGAGTGATGAAGCCAAGGCACAGAGGCAGAATGCAGAAGCAGTGTTCGGACTCAGACAACAGGTACACGTTTTTCTGCATCTTTTCCAGGCATAAGTAATGAAAATGAAACACTGCAGCAGTGCAAGTACTATGATACTGTGGTACTTGTACTTCACTTGAGTATTTACATATTATGCTATTTTATAGCTCCACCACATTCAAAGAAACAGTGGTTAAAATCCAGGTCTTTCTGTGTGGACTTTTTGACATTTTATTACTTATTACTATGACATTTTTTTGATGTTTTTATGCCTTACTATATGATGATGTTTTTTGATGTTTTAGGCCTTAGTATAGTATAAAGTTTTTTGACGTTTTATGCCTTACTATTCTATGACATTTTTATATGTCACTACGCTCACATGTTCGTATGGGGTGGCCTGTAGTACAGTGATTACAGTTGTCATCTTCCAGTGAGAAGGTTGTGGGTTTAAACCCAGACTTTGGATCTTTCTTTGTGGAGTTTGCATGCTCTTTGGCATTTTTCAACATTTTTATGCCTTACTATACTATGACATTTTTTAAATTTTTACACCTTATTATAATATGGTGTT